TGCTACCGAGGTAACGTTTTGACATGTTCCGTTTAACATTTTTGCAGTTATGAACTTTTCCACAATTAAGATTTTGTTTTTTATTTTCAAACGAATATTTTTGGGTCCAAAAACTCTTAGGCGGTTCATGAGGAGGAAGAAGAGAAGGAGAAGGAGGCTAAGAAAAAAGAGGACAAAGAAGAGAACGAGAAAAAAAAAAAGGATTGTGAAGAAAAGGAGCAAAGTTTGGCCTTGGTGGTGTATGAGTCTGCTTGTGCTCAGAGCTCGCACCGATCACCAAAGAACAAGCGACAGGCCTCTTCCATGGTGAAGAGGCTGCAGGAGAGGAAGGGGAGGAAGAAAAGGGAGAAGCCGATCGATTTTATGACTCCCCTGTCATCCGGTTCGAAGAGACGAAAGAAAGAGAAAAAAGTGCAGTTGTTAGACGTGAATAGTGATGTCGTAAGTAAACTATCAATTTATATATGTAAAGATTGGATGATTGTTCGTGTTGTTGTCATATAACTAACCAATTATTATTTTGTAATGTAGGACAAGGATGTTGAGGAGTCTTCTCTTAATGGCTTCAGAGGAAGAGAAGACTTTTGTGGCCACGAGTCCATGCAGGAAGACGTTCGTGCAGCCATCCGATCATTCCTGACTAGCGAAGACCTGAGGTAACAGAAATCATCTCAGTCTCTTAATTGTTTCATTTTTGTTATATTATACTAATTAGAATTGCAAATTTTAGTAGCAAAATTGTATGGAGCAACGATCGAGTGCAACCCCGAGGAAAGTCAATGATTGCTCGGTTGTTCGGAAAGGAGTTGAATTCCGAACTCATCGTTTCCTTTATGATGATCTTGCACGCTCGCCATCCACATGTCCGCTTCTTGCCTACCTATGTTCAGGTACTTTAACTATTATTTTTACTATTCTTAATTTTCTAAAATTAATATTCTTAATTTCCTAAAGAAATATGATTTATTTTGTAGATTAATGTTTGGAATGCCGTGGAAAAAATGAAAACTAGAAAAAAGTGGTACAAGGAAGACTATGAGGTGTGTACTTCTAAGCTAAGTAGAAGTATTGTTGCCATGCTAGATGAGCTCATTGGGGACATCTCTAGTGCTAAGTTTGTGTTCTTCCCCACGATCATGAAATTTCACTTTTTCTTGGTCGTCTTAGACGTTCAAGAAAAGAAATTTATATATCATAACTCGTTGGATGGTTTCATTTACCAAGGAGTTGGGAAAAGTTTGGTAAGCGTTATTGACATATTAAACTTTGTTTTGTATTTATTATTTTTTTTTTCGAATAAACTAGTCATGTATTTTGTTGGTTTTTTTTTTTTTTTGGTAGGCCAAGTTCTTCGCAGGGTATTTGAATTGGAAAGCTGAATTGGACATTGATGAGAGCAAGCATTTTTTTAAGGACTCCAAAGGCCGCAGACCGGGGATAAGGACTGTGGAGTCCACGTGTGCTTGGAAATGGATAGTTACGTCGTGGATATTCCAGAATATTGGATGGCCCAATATAATTGTTCAGTCGATGGCTTCAGAGCACATATGGCAGCACTCATCCTAACAAATCCTCCTTCTTGACTGTTTATTTATTGAAAACTGGTAGCAAGTTTGCATTGTACGTTGACTGAGGTTTTTTGTGTAGGCATTGTACTTGGAAGCTTGTAGAAATATTGTTGAATTTGGGTTGGATTTGTTGAATATTGTTGAATTTGTGGGTTGAATTTATTTTTGTACTTATTAAATAATTATGTGATTGTAAACAATCGTAAAAACTTAGTACAAATACTAGAATTGGTGTGATGCAACAATATTTTGTTGGTTGAACTATTTTTTGTTGGTTAGATAAAAAAAAATAAAAAAAAAATCAATGCGACCGAATTTATTTGGGCAAGCTTAGCCGACATCCAAGCACATCAACGGTATCATCCAACTTTTGGGACTTTTTGTGTCGGCATTGGCAATGCACTTTCAAATTTTGAATTTGGCGAGGCTTAGGATACAAACGGCCACATGAGCAAAGATTATTGACAAGGAAGAGTTGACTCGTTGTGCATTCATTGATAAGAATTTTTCTCTTATCCCCCAAGAAAAGAGGCCCAAAGTCGAGCGTTTCTTTAAAGATAATATTGCAAAATCTTTGGATACACAACAAATTGACCGGACCGAACAGGATGCTGAAGCACACGACGGGGACGGTGCCGACACAAATTTCACCCAGTCGGATTGGATGGAAAGAATTTCAATCAATTGACATCATTGGAGGGATATGTGCGGGCACGGTTAGGTGCATTTGATGCTCAGTTGACTACAATTGGTGCTCGATTAGATACAATTGATGCTCGTTTGGATTCATTGGACACTACTCGATCCATGGGAACCGATGTTCCCTCTTCATCCACTCATCCACAATGAAAGTTCTTTTGTTTCTTGCAATTTTTTGCGGACTATAAAATGTTATTCCTATTTAATGTTAGTTTTTGTTTGTTTTGATTATTTTGATTGTTTTGATGTTTATGAAACATGTGATAGGTTGAATTCAATGTTAGTTTTTGTTTCATTTGATGGTTTTGATGGTTATGAAACATGTGATGGTTTGACCTGATAACGTAAACTAGAGAAAAATGACCATAAAACCAATAAAATTTTAGGGTTCGGGTGTAAATTATTAATTTGCTCGGAAGTAAAAATACCTTTTTGGTTGAGAAATAAATTTTCAACTCCGGTTGATGTTCCAACCGCGGTTGACCGAGAGAGTACCTCAAACGCGGCTCAACTAGTCGCGGCGCGGAGCTTGTCACAGGTGCAACAGTACCCTCCGTCACGGCGCGTCAGATATCAGGCGACGCGGCGCGGAGCTTTTCATGGCGCGACAGTTTTGTGCGAGTCCTCTGTCCATTTTGCGGCAATGGTGCAGCGTGAGGGAGACAACAGTGGCGGCGCGATGAAGTACCGCGGGCGTGACGGGAGCAGGCGCCGCGGCGCGGGGAAGAAGTTCTGTCACGGCGTTATTGGTCCCGCGGAGTGATGGCCTGGGAGCGGTTCTCTGAAGCTGTCGCGATGATCTCACGGCGTGATAGCTGGAAGCTCGTGCTTGAATTTATTAGCTTTCGTGCATGATTTCACGTCTCGGGCTCGTCTACGCTCGTTCGGAGTTGGAATTTGATTCCGTTTTCTTCTACTCGTTGCCAACGAAACCTTCAATATGATTACGCAAGCACGGTCAATGTTTGCCTGAAATCTGGTCCTGTCGAGATTTTCAACCTGCACACCAAAAACGAAAGAAAACCGAAAAAATATACGAAAAACACAAAAAAGACCGAAACGGAGAAAAACACACAATAAACGACAAAATGGACTAAAACCAACTAAATGACTCAAAATGGGGCAAAAAGAATGAGAAAATAATAACGAAAAATGCAACAAAAATGGGACAAACAATCAAGAAACATGTTTCTTGATCAAGAAACATGTTTCCTGTTCAAGAAACAGGTTTCTTGAGCAGGAAACGAGTTTCTTAAGGTGGAAACATGTTTCTTGAGCAAAGCACTGGTTTCTTGAGCAGAAAACGGGTTTCTTGAGCAAGACACAACCGGTTGACATGTCATTTCAAATTTTTTGGGACTTCACACACTTCACTTCAATTTTTGCGCAATTGGCATGATTATGGGCTCGTAAAGTTTGCGCCATGTTGTGGTCTTGTAGTAGTCGTGCACATATCCATACACCGATTCATTTGACTTCCTAAAAATGGTACATGCATAGAAAACAAGGTAATGGAATACAATATAACATTTTCTTATGGGTAAGATATGTAAACGTTGAGGCTTTTATTAAAAAAATGAAAAAATTACCCGATAGCCTTAATCGCATGTGAACAGGGCAATAAATCAACCTGAAAGAGATAACAAGTGCAAGTCCGATCATTCAAATTGACGACAAAATTATTGACCCCGTCCTTCACCTGGTTAACGTAGTGATTGATATTTGAAGCTTCCATTTGGTCCACTTTGATTTTATAATCCATTAAACGCTTAGATATTGATGGAGGAACTTCACATTCAGTGTTTTCTGTCTCAACACGTCTTTTGTGAAACCACTCTTGTTGTACGACATGTTCTCCCTAAGTTGCCTAATGAAATCAGGTACTTTGTTGTTGTGTGTGTGTGTGTGTGTGTGTGTGTGCTTTTTAAATAGGCGCGAGCCATTATATTCTTGTTTTCTGAAAAAAAAAAAGACCATCTACTC